ACCATGCCTGAATTTCTGCTCAGGGTGGGGCCCCTAGGTGATTTGAGGGCAAAAGCTAGTCACTAAAAAGACTAACCGGGATTAGAGAATGGGAAGTTTCAGCTACACCCCCTGACCTCCAGGGAGGGAGAGGGCCTGGAGATGGGGTCATAAACACTCTTGAAGAATGAATATAATAAGCATACCTAAAGCCACATTCTTGATCTTGGGGCCTTCTCCATCTCAGTAAATGGCAACTTAGTCACTGTCATTCCAGTTGTCATTGAGGATTCACTGACCTCTCCGTAAGACATGAGTCTCCTACACACCTGCTCCCTTTTCCCTTACAATGCTTTATTTTTGCCTAGAGTTCTTCCTTGGGGGGCAAATATGTCCCACTAAGGATGGTATTTGGAACATAGTAGGTGCTCCATGAATATTCAAATGAATGATTCAGTCCTTGAAGAATTGGCTGAGGTTATAGATGGAGGCAGGAAGCACCCAGATTGTGGCATTTTATAGGCATCTCCTGCAGAATTTATGCTTTCTGATAGGCAGTAGTGGAGCTGTCTAAGAGTTTTTAGCAGGAACTTAGCATTTTGTAGGCTGTCCTAGATACAGTGTGAGCAGTGGGAAGCTAGAAGCAAGGAAACCAGGTAGGTTAGTGTTAAGGGTTGGTGTGTAGGGGCTAGGAGTGGTGTTGGTCTGATTGTAGCCTGATCCAACAACAGTGATGCCACTTCTGTCGGCTCTACCTGCCCCTGTATCTAAAGAGTATTTGAGATTGAAGTTTTTAGGTCATAGGAGAGTATCACTGTGGGCCTGCATGAGAGAGAAATAGTTGTCTTGGTGTGCAGATTCTCCCTTCTCCAGGGGTTGGCTTGGTTGTGCTCCCTAGTTCAACCTGGCTTAACAGACCATGGATAGACTGAAATTTGCAGGCCTTGTCTAGTGCCCAGTCCTGGGTTCCTACTGTGCCACACAAGGACTCTGGCGGATCTAGCTTTAAAGACGACCAGCACTGCCACTTACTAGCTGTATGTCTTGAACAGTGCGTGCAACCTCTTAATTTTAGCCATCAAACAAATGCAAATAACAATCTGGGAATACTGAAGATCAATACATTTCTGCTTATCTAGCTCACATTGAGGTACAAGTGAAGAAATAGGAATTAACTGATGTGTGGAAAATAGTTTTTCGAAGATTCAACCTGGTCTTAGAAATAGTTTATAAACTGTCCTTAGTTTAACATGGATAACATACATTTCAAAATGATCACAGAAAAGTGTGAAGAGAAAGTACAAAATTTGATGAGTTTTAGCAAATGTGTGTAGTGGTGTGACCACCACCACAATCAAGGTACAGAACATTTTGATCACTCCAGAAGATTCTCATGGCCTTTTGTAGTAAGTCCTCAAGCCCTTGCAACAATTGCACTGCTTCCCATAACCATAATTTTACCTTTTCTAGAATTTAATGTAAGTGGAATCATGTAGCAAATCTTTTGTGTTTGACTTCTTTCACTTAGCATAATGCTTTTGAAATCCATCTGTGTTGTTGTATATATCAGTGATTCATTTTTTTAATTGATGGATAATATTCCACTGGATGGATATACCACAGCTTGTTAATCCAGTTGCTTATTGATAACTATTAGAGTTTCCAGTTTTTGGCTGTTACAAGTATTTTTTTTTTTTAAAGCTTTTATTTATTTGACAGAGAGATACACAGCAAGAGAGGGAACACAAACAGGGGGAGTGGGAGAGGGAGAAGCAGGTTTCCCGTGGAGCAGGGAGCCCAATGAGGGGCTTGATCCCAGGACCCTGGGAGCATGACCTGAGCTGAAGGCTTAACGACTGAGCCACCCAGGCGCCCCCCGCCCCTTTTTTAAGATTTTATTTATTTGACAGAGACACAGCGAGGGAGGGAACACAAGCAGGGGGAGTGGGAGAGGGAGAAGCAGTCTCCTGGCTGAGCAGGGAGCCCGGGCTATTACAAGTATTACTACTATTATTAGCATTCATTTACAAGTCTTGGTGGGGATATAGGTTCTCATTTCTCTTGGGTAGCTTTATAAGAAATTGCCAAATGTGTTTTCCATTGCCAACAGCCATGTTGTCAAGCGTCTGTTTAAATTTTTTGTCCACTTAAGAAATTTCATTGTCTTTTTATTATCAAGTTGTAACAATTCTAATGTATTTTGGGTACAGTCTCTTATCAGATACATGTTTTATAAATACTTTCTTTGAAGTAATTTTTTGTGTTTGGTTTAAGTTAAGGATCCAGGGTTCTTTTTTACATAAGGGTAGTTTTAGCATCATTTATTGAAGGCAATTGTTGAAAATCAATTGATCTCGGGCGCCTGGGTGGCTCAGTTGGTTAAGCGACTGCCTTCGGCTCAGGTCATGATCCTGGAGTCCCAGGATTGAGTCTCGCATCGGGCTCCCTGCTCGGCAGGGAGTCTGCTTCTCCCTCTGACCCTCCTCCCCCTCATGCTCTCTGTCTCTCATTCTCTCTCTCTCAAATAAATAAATAAAATCTTTAAAAAAAAAAAAAAAGAAAAATCAATTGATCTCATATATATGAGATATATATATATGAGATATATATATGATATGTATCATATATATATCTCATATATATATAAGTTTATTTCTGGACTATTCTGTTCCATTGACACCAATTGTGTAGGTTATGCAGTGTTACTCTTTTCAAAATGTTTACTATTTTAGATCCTTTGCATTTCTTTATAAGCTTCAGAATCAGCTTGTTAAAATAGATCTATTGAATTTGGAGAGAATAGACATCTTAATGTTAACAATCCATGACCATATTGTATCTCTTTATTCTTTTTTTGGGGGGGGGGCTTTAATTTCTCTCAGCAACATTTTATGTATTTCAGTATGTAATACAGTTCTTGCACTAATTTTGTCAAATTTAACTGTAAAGGTTTCATAGTTTTGATGCTATTGTGCGTGGTACTCATTTAATGTTTGCTGCAGATATATAGAAATTCAGATGATTTTTGTATATTGGCAGTGTATTCTACAGAACTGCAAAATTCACTTACTACCTTTATTTTTTTGTAAATTCCATAGAATTTTCTACCCAGAGGTTCATACTAACTGCCAATGATTGTTTTACCTATTCCTTCCAGGATGTGTCTTCTAAGTTTTTGCCTCATTGTACCTCCAGTGTAGCATTGAAAGAAGGGGGTGAGAGCAGATCTTTCTCCTTGATCTTTGAGAAACACAGTCTTTCACTGTTCAGTTTAATGTTAGCTGAGTTTGTAGATATTCTTTATCAGGCTAGAAAAGAAAAGTTCCTTCTATTCCTACTATGAAATATTTTTAAAAATCAGCATTGGATGTTGGATTTCTTTTCAAATGCTTTTTCTGCATTGAGATGGTCATGGCGTTTTTAAGTCTCTTTATATGGTGTATTACATTGAGTTTTGAATGTTAAAACAACCCCACATTCCTCAGATATGCCCTTTTTATATGTTGATGGGTTATCGTTTTTTATGTATTGCAGGGTTTGATTTACTAAATATTTGAGGTTTTTCCATTTACATTCATGAGGAATATTAGTAGCTTTCTTAAATGCTTTTATCTGGTTTTGTCATAAGGGTCATGCAAGACCTCATCAAAAGTGAGTTGGGACTGTTCCTTTTTTATTTCTTTGAAGAGTTTGCTTAGAATTACGATATTAGTTTTCTATTGCTGCATAACAAATTACCACAAACTTAACAACTTCCGACAACATATAATTATTAGCTCACGGTTTCTGCAGGTTAGGAGTCTGGGTATGGCTTTAGCTGGGTCCTCTATTCTCCATCTCACAGTGCATTCAGGGTGTTAGCCCACCTCTTAGGACGGCTGGTGGAGTTCAGTTCCTTGTGACTGACTGTAGGACTTAACAGTGGCTTGCTGCTTTAAGTCAGCAGGAGAATCTCTGTGATACCAAGGACTGTCTCAGTCTCTCTTTTAATGATTTACACTTAATTGAGTTGGGTCCACCTATGGTAATTTCCCTTTTCAGTAACTCAGAATCAACTGATGGATTCCTTAACTGTATCTGCAAAATCCTTTTTACCTTTATCATATAACCTGTCCCATCACCCTTGCTGAATTCTATTGGTTGGAAGTGGATCACAGGTTCCATACACCCTCAAGGGGACAGGTCACACAAGAGTTACTTACACATGGCCTGACACATTGAGGTTACTAAGCTGTGTCTGCCACAGTTCATATACTTTTTCTTAAATGTGTGGTAGAATTAATCTGGGCCAGGACTTTTCTTTTGGAGAAGGTTTTAACTACAAATTCAGTTTCTTTACTACATGTTGGGCTATTTTAGTTATCTATTTCTTCTTTTGTGAGCTTTCATATTTTGTGCTTTTTAAGCACTCTGAATTGTGTAATTTACCAGAATAAAGTTTATAATATTCTCATTATCCTTTTAATATCTGTAGGATCTATGGTGATGTCTTCTCTTTCATTCCTTATTTGTGTCTCTTTTTTTTTTTTCACATGATCAGTTTGGCAGGAGGTTTATACATTATATTGATCATTTTGAAGAATCAACTTTGGTTTCATTGTGGTTTTTTTTCCCCTTTATTATTCATCCATATTCTATTTCATTGCTTTATGCTTTTATCTTTATTTTCTTCTACTTATTTTGAGTTTAATTTGTACTTCTAGTTTCTCATGGTGGAAGCTTAGACTTGATTTTGGGCCTTCCTTTTTTTAAAAAAAAAAGTTAATAAATTTCTTTGTGGGTATTTCTTTTCTTTTTTGTTTTTTAACTGAAAACATTTTTATTTTAGTCTTCGAAGAACAAACTGTTCTTTTTCCAAGATAATAATGATTAAGTTAAAAAATGAGCATTTACAGTGCATCTTCAAAGTATTTCCCCTTTAACGGGAAACTTAGCTTTACAGAATCCAAACATTAAAAGGTTAAAAATTTTTTTTCTATTTTGCTATTATAGGAAAAAAAAATTAAGTCAAGGAAATCCATTCATACTTCAGGACCTCCAGGAACCAGCATTGTTATATTATTTCCATTTAGCAAAATTTGATCAAATTTAGTGATCCTTCTTTCTTCTGGTGTGATTTCAAACTCATTGACATCCTCCAGTACCATACGGACAAAGTCATCAAATCCCAAAAGTGTGCCAACAATTTCTTTATCACTCTTCATCATAATGTGAATTATTGATCCTATACATTTGTCCACAAGCTCTAGAGGCAGCAGCTATGAGGGGTTAGTGGTAGCGTTAGGTGCCATGGCTACGCCAGAAGTCCTGGGTATTGCTTTTGATTTAAAAAAATTATTCAGGGGGAGGTGTGGATGGGTGGGTGGGGGGAATGGGATAAGTAGGTGATGGGCATTAACGAGGATACTTGTGATGAGCACTGGGTGTTACACGTATATGTAAGTGATGAATCGCTAAATTCTGTTCCTGAAATCAATACTACTACACTATATCTTGATTAACTTTAATTTAAATTAAAAAAAGTAATTCAGTTCAAACTATTTTTTAGTTTCACTTGTGATTTCTCTTTGGAGTGGATTATTTAGGAGTATGTTGTTTAAACTTTGAATATTTGAATTTTTCCCCCAATTACCATTTTGTCATCAGTTTCTAGTTTAATTTTGTTATGGTCAGAAAATATATTTTGTATAGTAGAATTTAAGAGGGCTTACCCTTGAAGTTAATAAGACTGATTGATGGTGTATTTTGGTGAATGTTCTGTACACTTGAGAAGAATGATTCTTCTATAGTTACTGAATAGAGCGTACTCTTATGTGTCAGGTCACCTTGGTTGATAAGGTTGTTCAGTGTCTTAAAGCAGTTCTCCATTTATAACTACATTATGTAGCAGGCATCTTCAGGGCTACGAAATGGGTTAATTGGTGAAAGTCATTATACCCTTAAATTCATGGGTAGTTTTGTCTGCATGTTGAGGGGCTGAGCATGAGGATTGGTTGATTTGAGGGTCTGCTCTGTGCCAGGTACTGTTCAAGACATAGGGAATGAAGTCAAAGACATTGGTAAACCATACATTTCCTTGTCTTCAGAAACTGGTGTCTTAGAGGGAATGAGAGACAATTAGTTATTAATGCAATGAAAGATGGAAGTGAGCATGAAGTGCTAAAGCAGTCACTCAAGACAGCATTATACTCAAGAGATAGTGTAGTAGAAAGGTGTAAAAATTATGTATTGGTGATGCTTAAAATTCTTAGTAACAGTGGTAGTAGCCTTTTGTCTGTAGCATTTGCCCAAAAGAAGAAGGGACTGGAACCTAGGAGACAGTGACAATGGGTAACGTTTGATATGTGTTTATTATGTGCCACTCATTCTTTAGCATGTTATGTGTATTCCTTTTATTACCTGTGTCACCCTTTGAGAATGGGTACTATTATCTCCATTTAATGCAAGAGGAAACTGAGGCACATAGAGGTTAACTGGCTCAAGTTGCAGGTAAGTTGTTGAGTTAGGATTCATGGCCAAGCAGTGTGGCTGCTTGTGAGCTGTCAGCCATTATGCTGATAATCCAGTTGGCAGATAATAAGGATTTGATACAGGCTCGAGAATGACACTGAGAATGGAGAGAAGCAAACAGATGGGAGAGGGTTTACCGAGGTAGAATCTATATAGCACTGAGGTAAAGTAGAGGAGGGGCCATGTGCTGAAAAGGAACTATTTCTCACCAGAGACCTGGGGAGAGGATATAATACCCATCACAGAAATAAGAAAATCAGAAGGAGGAGCTGTGGAATGTATATATTTTTTAAAGGTGCTGTCAAGCGAACTAAGCAGAGAGTCAAGAAAGGTGGGAAGTATGGGGGGAAAATGTGCTTATCATTTGTCATAGAGGTAATATTTGGATCTATGGGCGTGTTGTCACCAAAGAGAGAAGAACAAGAAAAGGTAAGAGGAGAGGTTTTAAAAAGGCAACTTAAAAAATGTCCTGTTTGTTGGATAAAAGAGTTTTGGATGTGGAGCTATTATGGTTCAACATGGTGTTGATTCAGTAATGGTATCTCCAGGGGCTTATCATCTAGTGTTACCCAGTGTGTCATTACAAAAGGGGTGTGCCGTAGAGGGAATATTGTGGCAAGAAGGGGAAGAGCATGGCTCTATTTTTACTTAGTCTTGTCTGTGGCCTTGGATATATTATCTTAGAAGTGAGCCTTAGCTACCTTCAGAGAAAAATAAAAATCAGTAAGAGGATTGAAAATGGAAAAGAGCTTTATACAGCTTGAGATTGGTATTGAGCCAATTAGTTAACCACTTAGATGCCATCATGAAGGTGGGATTATGTAACTCCGTTGGAATGATTCCACAGAGACAAACATTTGTGATTATACAGTAGCTGGGTTTTTGACCTGAAAAGATCTTGGGTAGTGAAGTCAAATTCTCATTCTCCAATTAGTGTTGTGGGTTTTAGCCATACTTTCACCTCGAAAATCTGAGAAATCTGATACACTTTTAAAAATTGTTGCTCTCTTGCCTAGCTGGCCTTCTTCAATGGTTGAGTCACTTTGAGCCTTTATTTTGTTATCTAGAAATTGGGGATAATGATTCCTAGTCTCATTAATTCAGAGGACAATTGGGAGGATTACAGGAGCTGTTGAATAGAAAAGCACTTTGTAAACTGAGAGCTCTATAATTACAACTCAACTGTCCCTTGGGTTTGTGGTGTGTTGATGGTGTTGATTCATCTCTCAGGTTCATCTGCTATCACCACCCTTCTGCTGCCAGCACGTTTATCTTGCAGAGAAAAACAATGTACAGTGTGTTTCATGAAATTCATCCTTTGAACTAATGCTTAGTTATTGGCACACACAGGTGAGTGCTCCTTTGCTTATCCCAGAATATACACCCACTGTTCCCCACCAGTTTTTCTGACATACAGTGTGTAATTACCTGTGTGAGACTGGAGCAAGGCACACACTTGCCTTTTAAACTATGAAAAACTACAGTACTCGTTTCAGCAATCGGTGTAAATTTCTGATTCTGTATACATGCAGTTGTGGACAGTTCTCCTCCCCCCACTTCTCTCCCTTCCTCTTTCCCATTTCTCTCTTACTAAATCCCAGAACAAGGTAGGAGACACACATCCCATAGAGCAAGGTTAGGTAAGTAGTTTCTGGTGTCTTCACATTTGTTGTCAGTGGAGGAATTGTATGAGCTCTGCTTCCATGAGAGTTCTTGTTGGCTGTAGGCATGCAGGGTACAGGGTAAGTCCTTTTCAGTAAAAGGTAGCTTTTTTAGTGATAATTCTTCCTCTCATCCCACTGCCCCACAAAGATACATACACATACCTGGTAGAAGTTAGTCAGTAGGTCCCAGAGTCCAAACTGAGCTGGTCTAGTCATATGGGAAGTCAAGAGTTGTATTTCTCAAAGCTTCCTAGCAGAGTATGATGAGTAGCCAGTTGGAGTGATTTTGTTGTGAATGGCTGTAATGTGGTAATCATATACCTTTAGGGTCATTCCATTGGATAATAAATGCTTTTGAACTGGCCTTACACTTACTTGTGTTCTTTTCCCTTAAAAGGGAGAATATGACTCCCAGCCTCATCTGATCTCACCTCACCCCCACCATAAGTAGTTCCTGAGTTCAAGAGGTTGAGGACCTCTTGCAGTGTGGACATTCATTAAAGGTTACACTGTGTTGTGGTTTTGAAGGAATCAAGGCAAGAAGATTGAAGATTTTGGTTAGACTTTATCCAACAAAAGAATTGCCTGCCTAGCTCAGGGATGTTTTGTTTCTGAGTGACTCATTAGTGGAGACCATCCTCCAGGACTCTGTTGCTAAAAAAAGTAGAGGAGACAGCTTTCCTGGATTCTTTTTCTAGGCTATCCTGTCCACTCCCCTGCAATCTCTAAGATCACCCTCTAGCTCTCCGGGGTAGCCCTACAGCCATGCTGGCCATACCTGACGCAGGTAATGCGCACTGACCCTGGTCTGGGGCTGACACTAGACCCAAGTTGGGATGGAAATCCAGGGTGGGTTTTTTGTTTTGTTTTGTTTTTTTGAGGTTATAACCAAGAAGTCTTCCATAGAAGAGGGAAGAAGCAGCTATGTGCAAGGGAAGCTGAGAAGAAAGTGAAGCAAGTGTGTAGAGAGAAACAAATAATGCTGTGAGAATGACATCCATTCCCAAGAGCCTTCTAGTTCTGTCCCAGCAACCTACTTCTTCCCTTGCATTCTGTAAGCTTACTCTCCTGTAAGCTAACAATAAATTCCCACTTTTTGGTGAAGATAAGTCAAGGTTTCTGTTACTTGACCTAAAAGCTGCTTTATTAAAAGAAGAGGAGATGAACTATGTATATGACTTTCTACTTTGTTTTTAATCATAAGACCAGTATAACTAAAATACTATAGGGGCGCCTGGGTGGCTCAGTTGGTTAAGCGACTGCCTTCAGCTCCGGTATGATCTCAGGGTCCTGGGATCGAGCCCCGCATCGGGCTCCCTGCTCGGTGGGAAGCCTGCTTCTCTCTTTCCTACTCCCCCTGCTTGTGTTCCCTCTCTCACTGTGCCTCTACCTCTCTCTGTCAAATAAATAAATAAAATCTTTAAAAAAAAATAAAAAATAAAAAATAAAATAAAATACTATAGATGAATAGAGCAGGGCCCCCATTAATCAACTTCCAGAAGTATGTGAATGGACAGTTTAGTTAAATTGAGTGACAGTTTGGCCATTAAATGATATGTGCAAAGCATTTCCTTGCAGTACCTGTTCCAGACTTAAAAAATGTGTAATTAACATAGTAACTGTCTTATTAGCAGCTTTATGTGGCACTGTAGTAGTTCCTCTCTTAGTTTCTTCTTTGCTGTGTCATATTTTCCTTGGTATATACCCATTGGGGTTTTAATAATGGTTTTTTTCCCTAAAATAAATGATCGTGTGTATAATTTTTTTTTTAATCAAACTGCTTGAAGTTTTTAGGATCCTCCTTTGTTCAGACTAATAATACTCTGTAGAAGCATGAGATCTTACTAATCGTAGGTACTGTGATATGGAAACTCCCTTCCCCCACTTCCTTCTGCCATCTGTCTCTGAAAAATTATAGCTGTTAGAACTTGAGTCATTTTACTTGGACAACAGCTTGTTGAACTTCCCTCAGTTTAGCAAATACCTCTGCAGTTCTTATCAACGCTATTTATCTTTTAGCTTTGCGTTCCCACCCTGTTGTTACACTAGTCCGTAAAACACCGGCCCGGTGAAAGTTTATCCTTTCGTTTTTGGCTGCCCAGCAGACGAACTCTGTATCTCAGTCAGGGGACTTCTCTACTTGACGATGTTTTGTGGGAAGCAGTGTCACTGACCACACGCTCCCCTTCCACTCCCGACCCTTGCGTATCTGAACACCCCGACCAAATAGGGAAAATGAGCACGCTTCTCAAGTTTTCTTATCCCAGATTGGGGGATACAAAGGAGAGGTGTGGAACGGGGTGGTTTAGCTGTGTGTATGGAGGTAGTAGTAGCCATAACTTACTGCTCTGAACTCAGCACCTCATTGGCAACCACATTCTGAATTCTTTGATTTGAGATTGAATCCCTTGCATAGGTTGTTGGCAGTGATTAAAAAAATTAGGGGCGGTGGTTCGTTTCATTAAAGTTGAGAAAGAGTTTGTGATCTAGCTGAATGCTTTTGTGCCTTCCCAAACTGACTGCCACAGCTGTCCTTAGTTCCTTACTGTGTAGATTTCTGTGCTAGGAGACAGTCTTAACCATCACTGCAGGAGCCCTCTAGTATTTTATGGTGGGACTCCAGCATGCCAGCCCTTCACCATAGTCTCTTTTTAGTCAGAAGAGTACTCCCCTACTTTTCTTTCTTTTTTTTTTTTTTTTAAGATTTTATTTACTTGAGAGAGAGAGAACACATGAGAGGGGATAGGGTCAGAGGACGAAGCAGACTCCCTGCCGAGCAGGGAGCCTGATGCGGGACTCGATCCCGGGACTCCAGGATCATGACCTGAGCCGAAGGCAGTCGCTTAACCAACTGAGCCACCCAGGCGCCCTCCCCTACTTTTCTTTATGGTCATTTTACACCTTGTAGCCACTGTTGGAGTCTTTGTTCTTTATGAGGTCAAGACTTTGATAGTCAAAACTAACCTAAGAGTTAACGGTTTTCTTTAGTATTTGTTGAAATCAGCTGGCTTTAATAGTTTAGGCCAATTAGTGGCATTGGCATATTTAAAACATAAGTCTATAGAGTATTCATGATTTACTTATTAGTTTCTGACTTGTTTTTCCTGATTTTTTTATTTATCAAAGTCATGTTTGTCTATTGTGGAAAAATCTTGTAAGTACAGGGAGGTATTAAAAAAAACTGTGTAGGGTCCCCACATTAATCGGCAGATTCGGCATAATCCCTATCAAAATTCTCACTGCCTTATTTGCAGAAATCAACAGCGTAATTATAAAATTTACATGGAAATGCAAGGGACTCAGAACAGTCAAAATGATCTTGAAAAGAACAAAGATAGTAGACTTTAACTCTCAGTTTTAAAACTTTTTTAAAAGATTTTATTTGAGAGAGAGCGCAAGAGAGAACAGGAGTGGGGGGTGGGCAGAGGGAGAAGGAGAAGCAGACTCCCCGCTGAGGAGGGATCCTGACTCGGGAATCCATCCCAGGACCCTGAGATCATGACCTGCGCCGGAGGCAGTTAACCAACTGAGCCACTCAGGCGCCCCTCAATTTCAAAACTTAAATACAAAGCTACTGTAATCAAAATGGTGTGGTACGGGCATAGAGATAGTATAGATCAATTTCTGGTCCTTTTATTATTTTTTTAAACTGTTTTTGTTTTTATTTTTATTTTTCTTAAAGATTTTTAAAGGTTTAAAGAGAGAGCAAGCGAACGAGAGAGAGCATGAGCAGGGTGAAGGGCAAAGGGAGAAGCAGACTCCCTACTGAGCAGGGAGACAGATGTGGGACTTGATCCTGGGGCTTCAGGATCATGACCTGAGCAAAGGCAGTTGCTTAACTGACTGAGCCACCCAGGCGCCCAGGTCATTTGATTTTTGACAAAGGTGTCAAGACAACTTAATGGGGAAAAGAGAAGCCTTTTCAACAAATGGTTTTAGAACAACTTGATATCCACATGCAGAATGAATTTGAATCTCTCTCTCAGACCAAAATTAACTAAAATAGATCAGACCTAAATGTAAGAGCTACAACTAAAACCCTTAGAGGAATACATAGGTGTAAATCTTCATGACCTTGGGTTATTCAGTGGTTCCCTAGATACGATACGACACCCAAAGTACAAGCAACCAAAGAAAAAATCGGTAAGTTGGATTTCATTACAGAAAAAAAATGATAAATTAGGCTTCATCATAATTGAAAACATTTGTACTTCAAATAACATTATCAGACAGTGAAAAAACAACCCAGAGTGGAAGGAAATATTTGGAAATCATATCTAATAAAGGTCTAATATCAAGAATATATAAAGAACTTTTACAACTCATTAAAAAGACAATGTGATTTAAAAAATGGGCAAAGGAATGGAATAGATATTTCTCCAAAGGAGATATATAAGTGGCCAATAAACATGTGAAAAGATGCTCGACATCTTTAGTCACGAGGGAAATGCACATAAAAGCCACAGTGCTACACCCACTAGGATGACTGTCATGGGAAAGGCGGACAGTGAAAGGTCTTGGTGAGGATGTAGAGAATTTGGAGGCTCGTGCAGCTCCACATGTGGGGGTGTGAAGTGGCGCAGCTGCTCTGGAAAACCGTTCAGCAGTTTCACAAATGGTTAAGCACAAAGTTACCACCTCATCCAGCAGTTTACGCCTAGATGTATACCCAAGAGAAATGAAAGTAGGTCTCTACAAAAACTTGTACACAAATGGTCACTGCAGCCCAAAAGCAGAAACTGTTTTATACCAACCCCAAAGTAGAAGCTACCCGAATGGCCACTCATTGTTGAATGGTTAAACCGGATGTGATGTATTCGTGCAATGGAATATTATTCTGTGATAAAAAGGGAATGAAGTGATACCTGTAACAACATGGATGATGAACCTTGAAAGTATAGGTCAGTGGAAGAAGCCAGACCCAAGACTACATATTGTGATTCCATTGATATGAAATGCTCAGAATGGACAAATCCGTAGAGACAGAAAGGTTGATTACTGGTTCCAGGGGTGGGGGAGGAGGAAATGGGGAGTAACTGCTGATGGATATGGGGTTTCTTTTGGGTTTGATGCAAGTGTCCTGGGCTTTGATCATGTTGATGGTTTCCCGGCCCTGTAGAGCCCTTCTCATTTAGTTCCCACAGTAGTTTCTGACTCTTCTCTCAGAACTGGGGCTCCTGACTCCTCCAGAGTTTTTTCTGCTAATTTGGTGTGCCCACTTTTACAGAGAATTGTGGGTGAAGATGGGAGCGTGCTAATTTGGAATATTATGAAAATACTATTTTATGAAGTTAAGTGCATTACTCACACTTTTGGTTGACCGAAGTACATTTGCGGCTTGGTTCAGTTAGCATTCAGCGCTCAAGCTTCAGGGAAAGAAAACCCTTGAGAAATAGGGTTAAACCCCTGAAGTTAGTCTTTTAATACCAAGGAGCTTATGTTGGTCTTTTTTCTTTTGTTTTTTTTTTGCTTCAGAGACTGCAAGAAAGAAACAAGTAGAATTAGAAACTTCCTTAAGTGGTCATTCATGTTGATTGGGTGTAGTGCTGGGGTAGAAAAGCTGCTTGGATTTTGTCTTCATAAACTGCTACTCATCAGAACATGCTATGGTACATTGCTTTTCTACTAAACTAGAGAGTTTAGAGCAGAAGGCATCAGTAAAGCACACTAGCCTGGAAAACTTTGTTACAGTGGTTACTTTTGTTTGTTTTAAAATGCGCTTAACATTTCAGAGCAACTAGTCATGGGTTCAGAGGTTTTATCCTGTGTACTCATTTTATTGATCCTTATTCGTGGGCGTCTAAAATGTAGTGAACTTCAAACTCCTTGCAAAAACAAAACATGGTTAGTAATTTTTATTCTTAAGGAGAGTTCAGACTTTTTAATGACTTTGACATGAAAATATACAGAATTTTTAAAAATCTTGAACTTCAGATAGTAGTGGTCTGGCTTTGTTCTTTCATCATGTAATTAAAGAAAATGTATTAATTTTCTTTAAAAATGTATTATTTCTAGAAACTATGAATAGCTTCACTCTGACAGAAGTTCTCAGTGAAGTGCAGTTGACCCCTGCCATTTAATGGTTTCACATTGCAATCAGAGCAGACTTGCTTTTAGTAAGTATTAGCATTGAGACATGACTGTCCCAAGGACATGCAAAGTATCTTCTTTTTTCCCTAGTGAAGTTCTCTCAGAAATTTGATTTTAATATAATAAACACTTTGACTTAGATATCATAATGTCATCATAATTTTAATGTAGATAGACCATGCTTGGATTCTAAATTCCATGAAGGCAGAAACTTACTGCCTTCCTTGTATAATGTCAGAGTTTATTCTTGTGCCTGTCCATAGTAAATGATTAGTAAGTGTTTGTTATATAAATATATATTGGTAATCACATATATATTGATACTATACATACTGTTTTGTAATATTCCCCCAACACATACACAATTAACTAGCATGTCCTCCATTGATAATATTGTGTGTAATAGTTTTTCCTCATGTTTCTCCCTTTTTAGGTTGGTATTTTGTATGGCACCTTTTTTTATCGAAATTCAAGTTTCTGCGGGAACTGGTGGGAGACACAGGATCTCAGGAGGGAGATCATGAGCCGTCAGGCTCTGAGACCGAGGAAGACACTTCATCATCTTCGTACAGGATCAGATCTGCTCGGCAAAGGAGGGCACCCGCTGATGAAGGCCACTGACCCTAGCCCTAGTCCCATACTAGTGAATGACGAAAGGCAGTGGGGAGCCTCTGTCTTTAATGACCTGGCTTTGTAGTTTGGTAAAAGATCGAAGAACATTTTTACTTGGATGTTAAGTCCAATTAAAAGAAAAAGATTTATATGTAAGCCATATGAAAATAAAGGGAATTAAAACCAAACCAGACCATTGCAGATTTCATCTTAAAGATAATCTTTTGCTTCACTAGCTTTCTACTTACATACTTAACTCTCTGGCTCCCGGGCTTATTTTCTTGCACTGGTGTGAATCTGGTAAACATGACAGGCTTGAGAAAACCGTATTTTATTAATTCTGTAATGTATATTGTATTTTTGTTTTTGTTTTCACATTTTACCTTGTCCAAAATTGGGATGTGTCTCATGATTACTGTGAACCAGGAGAGGTCGTGACGTAATTATCGCAGCCTGCGTGGGTGGGAACTTATTAACGGCTTGTCACAGCATCGTCACTGTATTGTTGGTACCAAATGTGTCAGGTGTAATTGGCATTTAAAGATGTCTTCAAAAAGATTGCACTATGATTCAGCATTGAAACGAAAAGTGATTGTGTACGCAGAAAAGCATGGAAATAGGGCAGCGGGGCGAACGTTCAGGATTAGTGAAGCAAATATCCGGCGCTGGAGGAGTGACCGCCATTCCATATTTTCTTGTAAAGCAACAACAAAGTGCTTTACAGGGCCTAAGAAAGGAAGATACCCACAGGTGGATGAAGCCGTACTACGTTTTGTTAGCGAGATGCATGCGAAAGCATTGCCCGTCACGCGCCAAGCAATGCGATCGAAGGCAGGAGAAATCGCCAAAACCCTGGGGATAGACGAAACAAAATTCAAAGCAACCAGAGGCTGGTGTGACCGGTTCATGCGCCGAGCAGGGTTATCTCTAAGGGGGCAGACCTCGTTTTGCTCAGAACTTTCAGCTGACATTAAGCAGAAGATGGTGGTGGAGCACTCTTTCAAGAAACACCGTATCCCCAGTGCGTTTGATCACCCCACGGGTGCTCTTACGTGGACGAAAGCAGACATCCATGGCTGTGATTTGAGAAGTGATTCAGAAGAGCTGGACTCAGAATATGAGGTGATAGTTATAACCTAACCAGTTAACTTCATATACTTTCTTTTGGGTATGCACAAGATTGATGTGTTAAACATCTGCTTCACTCTAAAAACCGTTTCAATAAATATAAACATCCTACGTGGTATGAAAGCATTGTGTCAGTTTAATGCCCGTGTTTTTTCTTAGTTATATATATGGTGCATCTTACAATTGATGGTATCTTAGATAAAAAATAGCTTGTAAATTTATTTTCCCTTGTAAGCTAGAAATTATTTATTGGGGGTACTTAATCCTGTCTCTTATAATGCTGTTAAAATAGTTATCCTCGGGATGCCTGGGTGGCTCAGTTGGTTAAGCGGCTGCCTTCGGCTCAGGTCATGATCCCAGGGTCCTGGGATCAAGTCCCACATCGGGCTCCCTGCTCAGCGGGGAGCCTGCTTCTCCCTCTGCCGTTCTCCCTGCTTGTGCTCTGTCTCTCTCTCTGACAAATAAAAAAATAAAATCTTTAAAAAAAAAATAAAAGTTATCCTCTATGAGATACATTTTTTTTTTTTTTGCAACATATTCAAGATTTTAGAGTAGTGACTTAGCCTTAGAAGTTCTACTTCAGAAGAGCAGGATTAGTCTCTCTCCCTTTGTATGGGAGGGCTTCACGCTCAAGGCATGTGCTGTGGAGAAAGTACTTCTTCCCAGACAATTCAGTGACAAGACCTCAGAGGTCCTAGGTACCGAGGATAAAACAGAGTGGGTGAAAATGCCCGCTTCACTGGAAAATAACTTGCCGGGTACCCATGTTTGTCTTCAGTGAACTTTGGACCGAGTGTTCACCAGGGAAGAGATACGGATTCAAAGACCCTTCCTGTTTGGTGTTATCCACTCTGTACAAGACTGAATTGCAAAGCCAATTTCTTTTATGAATTCCAAATTCCGTTTTTTTGTGTTTACCCTTTTTTCCCAAAAACTAGCCATCCCAGGATATCACCTCCATGTTATGACGGTGTGTAATTATGATACCTCATACTCCATGCTGATGGTTTTGTCAACAGTCCACTTGCATTCCTGAGGTATGCCTGGTCCTTTGGATATACCGAAAGGGAATTTATAGAGCATGTACTTAGTTTTAACCAGCAGCTGAGAGTGGGGCATAATCTTTCATTTCCATACTGGATGCATTTTTCTATGATTCTGTGCCTATAGGGATTAACAGAACAGTGACATAAGTTTCAAGCATTCATTTTAGTGCTTCATACTAGCTGGACATCAAAACTGTCGTCAGTTAGAAAAATTAATGCCTAAAAGCTTCTTGGTACTGGGAGGATATTTAATTAGATCTTTCATAGTCTAAAACTTTGAGCTGTGGATTCTGCTTTATAGGGAATACCTTAGGTTTAGGTAATAATAGTTGTCGAAAAACCTTAAATAACCAGTGAGCTTCTATACTGTTTCAGTATTAAGGAATGATGGCTCATATAACCCCACACAACCTGCAGGGGTCATCCACAATACTACAAAGAATCCATGGAGAGGTGTATTTGTTGGTATTATTTATTAACCTTTATGCTTCAAGGATGTCTTTTTTAGTAGAATTTAAGGAAATGTTCTGTTTATTGGGAAATATATCCAAAAGCATGTTAATCGCTCACACCCTACCATGTTTTAACTCCTCGGAGAGTAAAAAGAAATCACTGGTGCCAATATGAAAATTCTACAAGCTAATTCCTTTGTTTAAAACTTGTATTTTTCTCTTGCGCCCCCCCCCGCCCCCCGCCCAGTTAACACTCAACATAGTACATATTTCTAAGACCACTAAGAAAGGCAAGAAGAATATTAACACAGAATTACTTGTGTGGTATATGTTTCTGTTCCTTTGCCTATTTTGGTGCTTTTGTAGCTGCGCTCAGCCAGAATTTCCCAAGTACCTTTTCAGTTTCTCAGTGAAAGACTGACTTGCCTGTGATTAATTTTGAAGTTTAGAAGGTGCTGAGCATTAAGAGCACATACAAGTATCCGTCTTGTCTGAATGCTCACAAACAGCGATGGCGATTAACTATGCCATCTTTTGAGGATAAATTCTAAAATCGAGGACTCTAGCAGGGTTGTTTCATTTCCTTACCAATTTACCATTCCCGCATCTCTTTGCCTCTGAAACTTTTGTGCAAATTGCCTGTATCAAACATACTGGTTTGCATTGCTCTGATTTAAATGCCAAAAAAACCCGCTAAATATTAGTGTGGCACTGTTAAGTGAGGTTTTTAATATATTCATTAAGCTAAAAATAGAATTCATCCAATGGATTTTGTAGTGTTGTTTTCATGGTGGAAACATTAAATACATTGTTTTCGGTGAATAGCTAATTCACATATGTGCTGACCCATTTCTTTAGATGATACTAGGTTTAAAAACCACTTCCAGTTGTTGCTTTGCTGAAAGGTGGGAATATATTTGCCGAGAGGTGGGTGAAGCATGTTAATGATTTCACAAAATGTTATTTTAAACCAAAATGTGTTGAAAGATTTGAAAGTGGTGCATTTTTATTTTTAGGAGCAACCTCTTTTGAAATTATTTTAAGTCAACAGTGCAGTAATTTTTAAAGTCTGTCTTTCTTACAAGGTATGTTTTAATGTAACATGTAGCCAGTGTAACTTTAGATTTTTGACTGGTAAACTTCAAGTGCTTTTATATTTGAAGTTGACTTTAAAAAGCCAATGAGCAGTACTCAAAGGTTATAGACCTTCAAGCAACTAATGGAATAGTACTTTGTTACTGAGTCTAGAATTAAAGCAATTTGTATGGTCTGCTTTTAAAGTATCCTATAGCTTTTAAAGCAAAGAATAACATTTATCTTAAATTAATAAAAGTTACATTTTCCATTTGTTAATGTGTGCTGTCTCATGACCCGCCTTTAACATTACCCTCCAGGTTAGTTCTTTGCATAACCATTCACCAAATACTGCTGCTGTGGTTTCTTAATGGAAACATTCTGTGCTGTGCTATGATGCATTGTCATCCTCCTGCTTGACAAATAGGTTTATATGGAATTAGACTTGTGGTGTGGTAATAATAGTACCTTTATATAACAAAATGTAAATTTAGACTTAAGGAATGTGTGTAAACGATCATTCACTGTTTTTATTTTAAAACCGGTCAATACTGTACCTAAAGCTTCTGTGGTTTGTTTGATGTTTTAACTTTCACTTTAAACTGCAAAGAATAAATTAAAATGAAAACAAAAGTTTGGTATGTGTCATTGATGACGTTTAGTAAGTATGAAAGGTACCTGGGGCATGAGGGGAGTTGAAAGCAGTCATTTTTACCAGTGGTCCACCCTTCACCACACTTTTCAAACTCTAAGGATCTATAAGAAGACAGCAGTAGTATTCCTAGTGCCATGAAAATAATTGACTTAGAACCCAAAGGACATACAGCATTGGAGCTAAATTGCTTTGACCATGTGTGGCCTTTGGTTTTCTTCTCATACTTTATCCAACACCCTCGATGTTGTTCTGATACTCTGTTTACCATAGTCATGTCTCACGTTTTTGTTAGTAGTAACCATCCGGAAGACTAAGTGAGGACACTGACCAAAGCCAAGTGAAAAGATTGAGGAATGCCTTTGAAAACCAGTTTGAGATGGGAAATCATTAATTGCAGTAGCTAGGAGCCAAGTTTTTCATTTTTCTTGGGCAGTGCTCAGCTGCCAAGAATGTAGAGTGGGGAAAAGTGGATTGTGCCAGGGTCAGGCTTCGGATGGTAGGAGTGTCTAAAGGCTAAAGGGCAAGGCCGTTAAGAGACTGCTGGAGATTGGCTGTGGGATTTGGGCTGGGCTGGGAGAGAAGTCTGATCAGTAAGACACTGATAAATTGGGTGAATAGGAAGGGGTAGAGATTGAAGATAAAATGAGGTGACATTGTGTGTAATGGATAGAAGGAAGTTTGGGGTGGAGATCAGAATTTTAGAGGTGAAGCAGTTCTGAGTGGTGTCACTAAATACAGCCACAGAAAAGGAATCAGAACTGGGGACTCATTCTAGGGTATATGTGGACTATCGATATGATCACTAATGCATGATGGTTGGAGTTGAGATGGAGAAGAGGACCATGCCCTGGGGATTAGTTCAGAGACTTGGAAGACTGATCTTGAGGTCTGGGATGTTAGATGGCCCTTAAAAGGAGGAAGGGGTTTCCTGAAAATGAAAGAGGAATGATTTTGGAGAGCTGTGAGAAAGCTTTCTCTTCATTCTGGTCCCCCCGGCAGCTCTACAGTCTACAGGCCAGTATGAGATTGTTACATGTGTTACATGCAAGTGAGTACTTCAGTTATAAAAATGATGCTGGAGAATGTTGGAACAGGGAGGAGAATGGACGGAAAGAAAGCAAAAGCTCTAAAAATCTTGGAGGAGTTGGAGTTTTCCAGGTAGAAGATGAGAAGAGGATTCCAGACAGAAGAAAAACGTGCAAAGTCAGAGTTACAGGAAGATGCTTTGTTTGGAGAATGGTAGATGGTTGGTTATTCCTGGAATAGAGAGTAGTTCTAGGGCATAGTGGTTTATAACTGGAGAAGTAGGAAAGATCTAAGTCACAAGAGACCTTGTATGTGATGGCAAGGGCTTTGAAGTGCATGCATTGTGTTGGAAAACATTGAAATACTTTGAGTTGTGCGAGAGCATGGATTCACTTGTTTAACATATATTGAGTCACTACTCTCGCAGGCACCTGGACTAAGTACACGTGACCCTGAAAGCTCATGCTCACTGGATCAAGGAGGATTGATTGCTTTGGAGGCACAGTGGAAACAGGATGTATCTTACTGTAGTCTAAGTTAAAGAAAATAGAAAGTGGGAAAGAGTGACAACCGTGGGAAATGTGAAAATATGAAGAATCAGCAGGACCTGAGATTGGATTGTGAAGACAAGTGAAGGACAAGGATAAGTAAAGGATTTCAACCTTTGAGTTTAGTTTGAAATTGGTCACACTGAGGGATGCATATGGAAGAAGTAGGTCTGTGGTCAGCCACAGGGAGTTGGGGGATGACAGTCCAGTTACGGGTATACACATTTGAGTTGGATGTGCTTATGGGGCATTAGGTGGACAGAAATACCAGTTGTAAAAGTGGTCTGAGGGGCAGGGTTGAAATACGGACTGTGATCATCCGTATGTGAATGCAGGTGAAGCTGAAGACAAAAATAGGATCTACCGGGGGAGGAGGATAGAATGAGAAGAGACCCAAGGAGTGGCCCCTAAAGAGCACTAATATTGAACAGGCAGGTGAAAGAAAAAGAGACCATTAGGACATTGAGAAGGACTGGGGAGAAAACCAGGAACCTACCTGAAGGAAAGTAACGTGCTAGAAGCAAACTGAAAAAAGAATTCGAAAGAAGAGCAAGTGTTCCACTGCTATATAGATGTAGAATGATATTGCTCACATCTGCCCATGAAGGAACTGTAGCAACAGGAGACTCTTGGCAGTAGTCCAGGCAGAAGACGATGTGAGTCTGTGCAGGGCTGGTGGTAGTGGACACGTGGAAGAAATATCCACGGGAACTGATGTGACAGGGTTTGGTGGGTGAATAGACAATGGGAGGTCAAGGATAAGGATGAACGCATGATGGGTGGCTGATGGAGGATGCGGGTGGAGCATAGTTTGGGGAAAAGTCCAGGTACGGGTAAGACCAGTGGAAATGGCCCATCTGAAACGTAGGATGAAGTCAGGAGAACTGAATTCCTACCCACATGCTTTATCTTCATACCTGGTAGTTACTTAACCTGTTTCCCGAGCTACTAAATGGGAATGATAACATCTAGGATTATTGTAAGGAGTACATTAAAAAAAGAAAAAAAAAAAGAAAAAAAAACCTAGTTAAGCATATTCCTTAGAGTAGGCAACCCATTACTTAGCCTCCCTCTCTTCTTTTCTTCCTTCTTATTCACATTTGTAACCATAGAAGGCTTCTTAATGCCAGCTTGCTCTAGGAGTTGGTCAGTCCATTGAAAAAGTCAGTTGAAATGGGGAATCAAGAAAACACATTCATCCTACGCTATTTGAGGTAACACCAAGGCTGTTTTCTCACTGAATAGAGATCCATTAGAGTTTCAATCTTGTTTTCTTTGTAAATGTTTAGACTTATAATCCTGCGATTTCTGGCTTTGTTCTCTTAAAATTGGAACAAGACCAGAACCTTGCAGAGCAAAGATTTTTCACTATATTTTCCCATTTTTTACAGTTGCCTCACTTGTCCCTAGATGGATAGGATTATCAGTATCTTGCCTTTATCAGCTTTTCACAAAACATTCAACTAAGTTTACATAGAAATAGCAACCTTTTTTACACTCATATTTCATTGTAGTATTTAATTATAGAATTATAATACCGGAGACAACGGAAATAAGCTGGTTTGGGAACGATTTTGATTAAACAGTCATTTGGTGAGAACAGAAGTGTATGAGCCTGGCACCCTTCTACAGAGTTTTCATAACTGTGTATCTATTCCCACCCTCTCCTTCCCGCCTGGTCCATTAGAGGACAGACCCCTCTGCCTATCTGATATAATCCCTCCTGTGCTTTGGATCCTATTCTCCTACCTTCTCAGCAAATTGACGCTGTAAGTTACAGTTGGCCTTTGAACAATGTGTCAGTCAAAAATCTGCTTATAACTTTTGACTCCCCCAAGACTTAATCAGCCTACTGTTGACCAGAAGCCTTATCAATAGCATAAACAGTCGATTAACATACTTTGTTAATATGTTTTATGTTATATACTGTGTTCTTATAAGAAAGTAAGCTAGAGAAAAGAAAAGCCAGTAAGAAAACCATCAGGAAGAGAAAATACATTTACAGTACGGTGCTGTTTGTACTGACAAAAATCCTTGTGGAAGTGGACAGCCCACGTAGTTCAAACCCGAGTTGTACAAAGGGCAAACCGTATTTCTTCTCCATATCCAGGCTCTTTGTCAGCTGGATCATTCTCGTCCACATTTAAATGGGCATTAAGCACATTCTATGTTGGAAGAAGGAAAGGCCTGTTCTCTCTCCCCTGGGTGGCCAGCCACTCTTCTGTCTGGGCGGCAGTCTTCTCTGAGTGGTTACCTCTGGGATGCCCAGCACACAAGATCCGAAGCGCATTTTCCAGCCTTCAACTTGGCCTCACCTCCCGACCGCATCTGCTGTGGTTGCTCATCCCTTCCTTGAAACGTTGTTTTGGCTTTCAGGATACTGAATTCTCCTGGCTTTACAGGTTTCAGTACTGCCCTGTCTGGCCCTGCCTCCTTCATCTCATTTGCAGGCTTATCCTGCAGTTAAATGTCCGAGTTCCCCCGGGCTACGTTGTAGTCCCCTTTTCCTTACCCTGTGCTGTCTCCTCAGGCAATCCTACTTGTGACTTCAGTTACCATCTCTTCCACCAGTGGGACCACATTCCTATCTCTTGAGCCAACTGTCTTCTCAGTATCTCCTCCGCTTGTCTTAAACACCAGTCCAACTCAACACCTGCAAAGTCAAGTCCGTAGCCTGTGGTTCTTCCAGTGTCCCTGCACAGTTGCTAAGTCCACAGCCTAGGTATCCTTGACCCCTCTTTCAGTCCCCATAGTTAGCACTTCGTATCTTGTTGGTTTTACTTCTGAAATAGTCCTAAAACCACCTGTTTTTCTCATTTTCTCATTACCATCAGTAGGCATTGGGGTGTATTGGTCACAAGGGGGAGGAGCTTCTGGAATTAGACTTCTCTGTGCCTCATTTTGCATCTATAAAATGGGTGTAGTAATGGTACCAATCTCATAGGGTTTTTGTAAGGATTAAATGAGTGAATACACACACAAAGCCTTTAGGAACAGTACCCAGCGGGGGCTCCTGGGTGGTGCGATTAAGTATCCTACTCTTTTT